ACTTCAAACAGTTCATGAAAAGTTATAATTTGAGGATAAGTTTAGGATCTGGTGTTGTGGTACAGTGAGTTCAGCTGCTTCTTGGGATGCCTGCAACCCCTACAGAGTGATGGGATCAAGTCCTGCCTCTGCTTCCTATCCACTTTCCTCAATTTTCTGCTAATATGCACTCTGGAAGGCAGCAGATGCTGCCTGAAGTATCTGGATCCCTGCTACCCACATGGTAGACCCTGATGGAGTTTCTGACTCTTGGTTTCAGGATTGAACCATTGAATGAAACATCTCTCTCTCTCTCTCTCTCCCCCTGTAACTCTGTCTTTTAAATAAATAAATCTTTAAAAAAAATAACTAAATGTTTAACTATCTTGCAAAAATATTTGAAACCCATACATAGTTTTTCAATAATACATATTTTCAAGATTTTTAATACCTTTTAACTCTATGGATTTCAAATTTATTATACCAAAATAAACTTGTCTTCTAGTTCCATTTTTCCACAGCTTTTTGAGGTACCCTCATACAGATAGGGGACAACCTATGAGAAGGTACATTTGAAGAAAAGATTATATTGGCAAGAAGACAGATAAAATACTTAGGAATGAATTTAACATGAAAAATACGAGAGATACACGAAAAATTTAAACACCACTTAAGGACACACACACAAACACACAAATGCATAAATGGATATTTTAATTCTCAGCATCATGACAATTTTTCCTTTAAGTTAATTTAAAATTTTAAAGTGATGTGAGTACACAATTGCTTATCAATTAGACAAATTGGGGCTGGCGCTGTGGCGCAGTGTGTTAAAGCCCTGGCCTGCAGCGCCAGCATCACATATGTGTGCCAGTTTGAGTCCTGGCTGCTCCTCTTCCAATCCGGCTCTCTGCTATGGCCTGGGAAAGCAGTAGAAGATGGTTCAAGTTCTTGGGCCCCTGCACCCATGTGGGAGACCTGGAAGAAGCTGCTGGCTCCTGGCTTTGGATCAGCTCAACCCTGGCCGTTGCGATCATCTGGGGAGTGAACCAGCAGAATGGAAGACCTCTATCTCTCTGGCTATTACCTCTCTCTGTAATTCTTTCGAATAAATAAAACAATTCTTTAAAAATAAATAAATTAAAAAATTAATTTTAAAGTTGATAAGAAATATGAATAAATAAAAATTGCTGGCAAAAATCTCCAAAGAATTAGTAATATGAAACAATCCCTATGTATTTTAATAGTACTATAATAAATTAATTCACATATTTAAATATGTAGGAATTGTAGCTTTAGAATATCCTAGAGCCAAGGAACAGTATAAAACATTCAAAGTTAAACACACACAAAAAAACGGGAGTTTAGTTTTGATAAGGATAATACTTAAAATCAAGAAAAATGTTTGGGACCAGCGCTGTGGCACAGCAGGTTAAAGCCCTGGCCTGAAATGACGGCATCCCATATGGGAGCCAGTTCTAGTCCCGGCTGCTCCTCTTCCGATCCAGCTTTCTGCTGTGGTCTGGGAAAGCAGTGGAAGATGGCCCAAGTCCTTGGGCCCCACACCCACATGAGAGACCCAGAAGAAGCTCCTGGCTCCTGGCTCCTGGTTTTGGATTGGTGCAGTTCTGGCCATTGTGGTCATTTGGGGAGTGAACCATCAGATGGAAGACCTCTCTCTCTCTCTCTTTCTCTGCCTCTCTCTGTAGCTCTTTCAAATAAATAAGATAAATCTTTAAAAAAAAAGAAAGAAAAGTGTTAAGGGGATAGATGACTCAATACATATTGTTAGGACAACTGAGGATAATATTTGGATCCACACCTCATTGCAAACATCACAAAAAAATTTCAAATGGATCAATGGTCACAATGCACAAAATTAACCCTTAAAATTACTAGCAGGGGCTGGCGCGCAGCTCACTAGGCTAATCCTCCACCTTGCAGCACCAGCACACCGGGTTATAGTCCCGGTCGGGATGCCGGATTCTGTCCCGGTTGCCCCTCTTCCAGGCCAGCTCTCTGCTGTGGCCAGGGAGTGCAGTGGAGGATGGCCCAAGTACTTGGGCCCTGCACCCCACGGGAGACCAGGATAAGTACCTGGCTCCTGCCATTGGATCAGCGTGGTGCGCTGGCCACAGCACCGCTGGCCATGGCGGCCATTGGAGGGTGAACCAATGGCAAAGGAAGACCTTTCTCTCTGTCTCTCTCTCACTGTCCACTCTGCCTGTCAAAAAAAAAAAAAATTACTAGCAGGAATGTGATAATGTTTTAATGTTTCTAAAGAGACAAAAAACAAAAACCCTCCATAAAACATGTGGACAATTTTCAAACAATTTTACATAGGAAAATATAATAAGCATTGCAAATAATACTATAATCAAAATTTTAAAATAAGTACAACATGGTAGTTTAAAAAATAGATACTTTTAACTCTTTCCATAGAGGGACAGATAGATTGAAAGAGGTCATCTTACAAAGCAACATGAAGAGAAAAAAAACATAAACATAAAATAAGAAAAAACAAACACAAGGAAGGTAATTTCCAAATAAAACAAACACGAAAAGGACTTAACAAATGAAAGGTTACAACTACTCAAAAAACTAAATGAGTAACTTTGCCTTTCCAATAATAAATAAATAAATAAATCTTTGGAAAGAGCGGTTTGGGGCAGGCACTGTGGTTCAGTGGCTCAGTCACTGTTAGGTATCCCCACACCCTTCCTGGAGTAAGTGGGGTAGAAGCCTACCACTTCTCAGAGTTTCAAATCTCAAACATTTGTCAAAGCCCTCTGCTGGGAAGTCTAGGAGCAGACACTCTCCTACATTGTTGGTGAGGATATAAATTTGCACAAGTTCTCTAAAAGGCAATTTGGAAATATATATTTATATTACAAATGTGTATAAACTTTCATTCAGAAATCACAGTTTTAAGAGTTTACCTTGCAGACATTCCTCCAGGTATTAAAAAGGCATGCATGTAAAAGGTTGCTTTTTTTTGGCACTCTGTAGTAGCAGACAATGTAACACAACCCAATGGCCAACCAATAGGAAAAGAGAAAATATAGTACATATCTACTAAGGAAAACATCATATCTGATTTTCAACAGGTAATAAAAAATTCCCTGTGGACTCTCATGGAAAGATTTCTATGAAATAAAATTAAACTTTAAAATACAAGATGCCAACTGTTTACTTCCATGTAAATATTCAGAGAATAAAAAACTTATACTTTCTTATATTTGAATCTTATAGACTCTGAAATGATAAACAACTAATTACTATGTTGTTAGCAGGACAGGAGGGATGAAGGTAAACCAGGCACACAGGGATCAGAAACAGTGGGAAGCTTTCATTTTATACCATTGATACATAATAACGTATAGAAAATATAGAAGCATTTCTCTTGAAAACATCAGAGAAAGAATATGTGCATGTTTTCTTAAAGAAAAAAAAATGTGAGAATCCTACAAAGGAGAGAAAACGGTACAAGATACTAGACTTTGGGCCGGCGCCACGGCTCACTAGGCTAATCCTCCGCCTGCGGCGCTGGCACCCTGGGTTCTAGTCCCGGTCGGGGCGCCAGATTCTGTCCCCGTTGCCCCTTTTCCAGGCCAGCTCTCTGCTGTGGCCAGGGAGTGCAGTGGAAGATGGCCCAAGTACTTGGGCCCTGCACCCCATGGGAGACCAGGAAAAGCACCTGGCTCCTGGCTCCTGCCATCGGATCAGCGCGGTGCGCCAGCCGCAGCGCACTGGCCGCGGCGGCCATTGGAGGGTGAACCAACGGCAAAAAGGAAGACCTTTCTCTCTGTCTCTCTCTCTCTCACTGTCCACTCTGCCTGTCAAAAAAAAAAAAAATCATTATGTAATCAAGGGAGAATTTAAGAAAGTATTTATAGTGATGGCAATAAAATATGTACTTAAATTCGCACATTATCAGCAACTATACCGACCAAGAACTTATTCACTAGGTTAAATTCCTATAGGCCAGAAGCAATAATTTTGATTGGATCTTAAAAAGGCACAAGGGCAAAGCTAAATCAGTAGCAATTTATAAGACATGGATGAGGTCCAGGCTGTACAATAAAAAAGAATCAAGGAAAGCAAAATCAAAATAAAAGCATGATCTATCAATCACAGTCTCATAAGAACACACTACTCAACAGAGCATCAAAATGTATCAAATGATGAATTGGCAAAAATATAAAGAAAACTGACTTCATTGTAAATTTGTCTATATTAACAGAAAAAACTTAACACATTCTTTAAATAACTTGGGCTAAGGAGTAAATAAAAAATTCCTGACTTAGATCTTTACTAAAAATGTAAAACAGAGCCTATGTTGCCAGCAGACAACAGAATGATTCTTCACCTACATTTTAATGTCAGAGGATGACAATGTGGAAAATATCCAAATATGTCAAGTAGTAAATGAAGTTCTATGAATGTGTAACTAATTTACCATTGAATAAATAGCGAATAATTATGAAATTTTAAAATATCCTGTTAACTAATTCTTCCTATGTTCAAGTTTTCCTTTTGTCCTTAGAAGTAAATTAAAAGACATTTATAAAGGGTTGAAACATAAAAATTGATAAGTATTCTCAAAACTACCATTTACTGCACACTTACCATGTTCAGTCTCTAAGTCAGATACATTAACTACATGCTAACTCTGTCTATACACATATACATACAAGATGAACAGCCACATACAGATGCACACCCACACATATGTAAAATGAATAGCCATAAAGTTTTGAATATTGAATGACATAATCCCTGTTTTAAATATGATATACTTTCCACATAATAATTACATGAACGCTAATATGTATTATATAATAAGACCTATTTTAAACAGGAGGAAACAGCTTCCAACAAGGCAGTACATTACCCATGATAGGATACATAGGAAGCAGTGGAGGCGAGGTTTGGATTAAGAGTTTTCAACAATGGGGAACAGGATTATTTGTATTTCTTATGACTTGCAAATATAATTTATTAGAATAAACTCACTTTACCTTACAATAAAACGTAGAACTCTTTTCTTCATAGACTCCTGCCTTTTCTTTGGGCATTTCATTTGATCCCATTTTGTCAATGACTTCTCCAAAGGAGGAATTTGGGTGTCAACGCAGGGAAAGAAGAGGCTGGAAAGTGTGTTGGCAATTCTCCATCCAAGATACTTGGAGAAAACTTCTTCCCCTACATCGGAAGCAACTTTTGCATCATACCTCGTGAAAGGATCAGTCAAATCGTTTAACTCCGCCTGTTGAAAGAAAAGAAAAAGGAACTACTTGAAATACAATTAAATGATAGAATGAATTATGTAATATTAAATGACAAAGTTATGTTCACTTTCTTTGATGATTATAGCATTAATCCTGCTAAGTAAAATAAGCTTAATAAAAAAAAGGCAGTTTCCAAAATAAAAATTTTTCAATGAGAAAAAAGTGAAGCATAAATGAATCCAGTCTTAAAATTTTGAAAATTTAGTAATAAAACTTAAATTTTTAATTTGACTCACTGGGCACATAAGAATTACATAAGTATTTCTAAAATATATTTAATAAGAAATTAATCAATTAAAGTAACATGTTTTATAAAATCAGACTTCCATTTTCTTCTGCACAATTTGAAACTTACTTGAAGTCAATGCAACCTTTCAATAAAAACAAAAATTTTTAAGTGAAAAACAAGGGCTTTTATTTTGCTTGATTGAAGATGTTTTAGTATTTAGATTTTGATTAAATCTAATGTTCTAATATCAAAATGACCACAAGAATTCCACAATATTTAAGCAGCCTTTCTATAAGCAAAGTTATTTTCTGAAATATTCTATTTATGTTCAACAGTGTCTGTGACTTATTTTATTTTATTTTATTTTATTTTATTTTATTTTATTTTTGACAGGCAGAGTTAGACAGTAAGAGAGAGAGACAGGGGGAAAAGTCTTCCTTCAGTTGGTTTACCCCCAAAATGGCCGCTAGGGCCAGTGTGCTGTGCCGACCCGAAGCCAGGAGCCAGGTGCTTCTTCCTGGTCTCCCATGCGGGTGCAGGGCCCAAGCACTTGGGCCATCCTCCACTGCCCTCCCGGGCCACAGCAGAGAGCTGGCCTGGAAGAGGGGCAACTGTGACAGAATCCGGCTCCCCGACCAGGACTAGAACCCAGTGTGCCAGCGCCGCAGGCAGAGGATTAGCCTAGTGAGCCACGCCACTGGCCTCTATGATTGATTTTAACTACTTCTTTAGATGGCCAGAGGCATATTTTCCTTGGCTGGAATCAGTAATATTAAAGGAAAATATAAGTAAAATGTCCTGTGCTATATAATTTTAAAGTTCACAATATGTTCATACTGGGAATTCTTCCTTTATAAATAAGTTGGATGCTGTGTTTTTTCATTTGTTTTTATTTAATACTACCCATCTTCACGCAGCTCATTACTAGTCACTCAGAATTCATTTTTAATGCCTATTGAAACTGTAGGAGGAAGTACTGGAATGGAAAATGTTTTGCTGCATGAGAACATCTAACAGTCTCCAGGATTCCAAGATCAGGTTGGGCTCAATGAAGCTGTCGTTCAAAGACTGATTATTGAATTATCTAGGCAAAATTGTAAGGAGAAAAAGAATATAGTCTCATGACAACTGAAAAGGTTTAATACAAATGAGGACAAATAAGCAAATGTGGTTTACCTTGAAAGCCACTGGGAATGGGAAAGAATAACAAGCAAAAAAAAAAAGAAAGAAAGAAAGAAAGAAAGAAAGAAAGAAAGAAAGAAAGAAAGAAACACTAAAAAGGATAAGACGAAAATCATGCAAAGAAGCAAACCTGTAGCACACAATACCTCTTCTGGCTATATAACCAAAGGAAACGAATCAGTATGCTGAAGCAATTCCCACGCTCCCCTGTTTATTACAAGGCTATTCACAAAAGCCAAGTTATTGAATCAACCTAAAAGTCCATCAACATATGGATGAAGGAAAATGTGATGTACATATACTTTTCAGCCATGACAAAGAAGGAATTCCTGACATTTGCAGCAACATGGATAAGCCTGGAGGACATTATGTAAAGTAAAAAAAAAAGTCAGTCCCAGAAAAATGAACACCACCATGTGATTTCACATTTGGAATCTAAACGAGTTGGTCCTAAAATTCAAGGGTAGAATGATGGTTACGAGGGGATGAGGGGAACTGGAGGGGATGGGGGTACTAGAGGGATATTATGAAAGATATAAAAATCTCAGACAGGGGTGAGTTCAAAAGATCTCGTTTATAGTATTGTTGACCATAGTTAGCAACTATATTGCATTCTTGAAAATTGATGAGGGTAGATTTTCTAAGTGTTTTTTAACAGTAAAAAATGATAACTATGTCATTAGTTCAATTTAGTCATTTCACAATGAGTATATATATATTCATACATATGTGTATATATATATACTTCAAAATGTCATGTTGTACAGAATATACACAACTTTTTCAGTAAAAGAAGTTTTAAGGGGCTGGCACTGTGACATAGTTGGTAAAGCCGCCATCTAGCATGCCAGTGTCCCATATGGGCACTGTTCTGATTCCGATCCAACTCCCTGCTAATGCATCTAAGAAGGCAGCAGAGTATGGTCAAGTGCTAGGACCCCGCACCCACTTGGGAGACCCCAATGAAGCTCCTGGCTCCTGGATTTGGCCCAGTGCAGCCCTGGCTGTTGCAGCCATTTGGGGAGTAAACCAATGGATGGAAGATCTCTCTCTCTGCCTCTGTCTTTTCTTCTCTGTAACTCTGCCTTTCAAATAGAGACTGATTTATTTATTTGAAAGGCAGAGTTATAGAGAGGCAGAGGCAGAGAAAGAAAAGTCTTCTATCTAGTGGTTCACTCCCTAGATGTCCACAATGGCCGGAGCTGCGCTGATCTGCAGCCAGGACCCAGGAGCTTCCTCTGGGTCTCCCAAGCTGGTGCAGGGGCCCAAGGACTTGTGCTATCTTCCACTGCCTTCCCAGGCCATGGCAGAGAGCTGGATCAGAAGTGGAGCAGCAGGGATCCGAAACAGTGCCTATTTGGGATGCTGGCACCTCAGATGGTGGCTTTATCCCCTATGCCATGGCACCAATCCCTAAAAACTGTTTTTAAAATGGCACTATCAACAAAAGAGAGCCCCTTCTTTATAAGAAGTATTTCAGAAAAATAAGAACTAAGAGCTTTTTCACTAGTCACCATTAAAATATATTCAGTTTTAAATATCTTTTATTTCATCATCTCTGGATGTTAGAATCAATCTACAATTATGTTTGAACTATTCCCAGTTGAACTGAGTATCCTTCCTAATAACTATGTAGAAACCATGAAAAGAGTATTCTATTTGAAACAAGTTAAACTGTACTTGACACTTAGTAGCTGTTGTGACTTTGAGGACATTATTTAGCATCTCAAAGTGAGTAACTTCATGTGTAAAATAGTAATCACAACACCTGCTTACCACCTCTGGTTTAATTTTTCATAAAGGAAAGGTACTTGAAAATCAATAGAAACATATGGCATTGCACAAATATAAGATAATGCAGTGAACTCTACAATTACAGAGAATAATGAATGAATAAATACGTTAGTGAAATAAGTGGACCTACAAAAATAATGCCATCTGCTGTCATAATTTCAGGAAAAACACACTGTTATCAAGTGTAGCATTATCCTGTAACATAGGATTTCGGTGCTGTTTCCACCTCGCCTCGTTTGCCTAACCCTTGCTTTCCTCCCTCTGAGGCAGGAGGGGCTGTACCTAGTCTGAGACGCAGGCTCCGAGCAAGGTGAAGGTATTGCCATATCTTTCACTAGGGTTCCCTTGTTGGAAGCTCAGGTGAATTTCCATCCTTCCTTAGTCTCCACTGTCTTTGACTTAGGAAAATGTATTCTCACCACAAACATGTATTTTGCTTATAGATAAAAGTTTTTATTTTTCCACAGGAAGTAGCCAGGAGAGAAAAGGGGGCCTACAGTTTGAAAGAACTGAAATCAAGTGTGGCTCCTCTTCTGCTTCCTAGTTAAGAATGCACGTTTGGGGAATCTAGAGAACCTCTCCAGAGCTGTTTTGTGCTTAGCTTTCCTTGTCTGGCTACTCACTCTTTGGAAAGGGGAACTTAGATCATATAGGATGGTCTACCTGCCAGTCTGTGGATAGCAGAACAGGGTTTGTCCCTTCCCCTACTGCTCTGGGCTTTGCAGAGACCCCCGGCACCAACCATGCAAGACCCAACCCATCCCCAGCCTGCCAGAGACTATTTGGTGATAGCACTATTTTTTTATCCATCAGCATTTTGTTCACATTTTATAGTCATTTTCTATAGCTATTTCCCCTCTTCTTTTACATTTTACAGTTCAGAGATGTAAATGCCGCTGATGCATACGTTGGTTTCTGGTGAGTAGATTTACATAAAATTTTAGTGACCATCTTTTCCAAAAGACTCCAAATTCATAAATCTAATACTACCTAGCCTCACAATGAACACCACCTCTAACTTCCATCAGCTGGTTCATTCTCCTAATATCCACAACAGCCAAACAGTGGCTTAATCTGCTACGCCACATTGTCTGCTCTCCTTTCCACCATTTTTCCTTTAACCTTCAAAGTATAAGCACTTCATTGGTAATCTCAAAAGATTATTTCCTGTGGGAACTGTAAAACCTACAAAGGAGAACAGCAAGAGTTAATTCCTTGCTACTTAAATTGTGTTCTTCGACCATCTTTTTGTCACTGCCTGACAGCCTGTTATCCATGCAGAATCTCAAGCCCAACTCTTGTATGACTGTTAAAGTTTAAGAAGGAGTGATGCAGTAGACAAGTTGTGTGGAAAACGCGACTTCTCGGAACATGTTTCCTCATCCCTGAAATGGAATGATAAAAATTCTTCCCTTCACGGGGTGGTGTCAGGATTAAACACAAGAGCTGCATAATTTTCTAACACAATGTCCGACACTCAGAAGCTCTTTACTGAATGTCAGTTCCTTTGTTTATATTTAATCTGGGAGATAGCCTGATACAGTGAGAACGGCAGAGCCTTTGGGTGAAACTCACTCACAGAACATCCAGCAGCAACCAGGCACTTACTGGATCGTGTTCAGAGGCAGATTCCTGATCTGCATAGGTGGTGCTGGCACTGTAGTGCTCACATGGGTTCACACAGACAAGAGCCTGAGCACAACAAATACTCACACTGCCTTTCATTCTCCTGAAGCAATGTGTCTGTCACACTGAGACTCTAAGTATTTGAGG